AGAGTACACTAACCTCAAACAGAAAGATGGCGGCACAGTTAAACAACTGGAACAAGAGTTTAGAACCTTGGCTAGGTTCTTGCCGGAGTACGCGGTTGATGAGAACCGCATGACGGAGCACTTTTGGGATGCCCTACTCTTGGACATCCGTGACCGAGCTACGTACTCGCGCCACATGACCTTCAGCGAGGTGGTGGAACAGGGCCTTCTCGGGGAGGCCCAATGGAATGAGAGGAAAGAGAGAGACGCCGAAGAGGCGAAAAAGAGGAAATGGCAAAGTTCGGGGCCGCCCGAGCAAGCACGGAAGGATAAACACGGCGGGGGTGGCGGTTCGTTCAAGACTCCGGCACCACCGGCAAAGAAGAACAGGGATGCTCGGTGGCATGCATCCTCCTCCCAAAAGACGGGGCCTCCAAAGTGTGCAAATTGTTCGAAAAATCACTTTGGGAAGTGCAATGCACCCCCGAGGTGTTATCAATGTGGGAACACGGGCCACATGAAGGCCAATTGCCCACAACTGGGGGGCGGAGGAGCTCCGGGATCCGGAGGAGGAACCATGACGGGGAGGAACCGTGCGGGCCCATCAAACGGCGGTGCGGGAAGAGGCGGCGCGTCCACAAGTCATGCCGCGTCCGTAAATCAAGGCGGGACCCAAGCACGAGTGTACGCAATGACCGAGGCGGATGCGCGAGCAAACCCGGACTCCGTTGCAGGTAATACGCTTATTTTCCTGTATTTCTAGGCTTATTTGGGTCATACGAGTCATTGGGTTTGGGTGCGGGCCACCCCGGGGTCAAACCCCGCGAATTCGGGGCGAAACGGGCTAAAAACAACTACGCGCGATCGCGCGTACCTACAGACGCACGACCGTGCGTGCGAGGCAGCAGCTTCTGGCCGTTTTCCGCGCAGACGCACGCCGTGCGTGCAGGTAAGGCACGCCGTGCGTGGGACGCACGATCGTGCGTGACCAGCTACGCACGATCGTGCGTAGCCGGCAGTGGCGGATTCCGGATTTTTCACGCACGCACGACCGTGCGTGCCACCCAGGCACGCCGTGCGTGGACCCCCAGCACCCGAAACTTGATTTTTTTTCGCCCCGTTCTTCTACGTTTGGACCCCCGTTTGATTCCAAACATTAGTATGAGCCTAATAACCTCCTAAAGATGTGTTAAAACATTAGAAAATGTATCTTACATGTGTATAAATGTAGGAACATTAAAGATCAATGGTAGGTGTGCGAGGATCCTCATCGATACCGGGGCACAACGCTCATTTGTGAGTGAGGCGTTCGCCGAGGGCCTTGACGTGCCATTGACACCTATGACTCAAACATTGTTAGTCTCCACACCGTTGGGAGACGACGTGGAGAGAAATCATTACTATCCGTCGTGTGAGGTAGAAGTGACGGGTCAACCTTTGACTTGTGATTTCGTACCTCTAAGCATGTTGGAGTTCGATGCAATCCTAGGAATGGATTGGCTTGAGAAGCACCATGCTCGAGTAGATTGCTACACCAAGGTGTTGGAGCTTGAGGATGGTCAAGGGAATATGCTACGTTTTGAAGGAGATCGGGGGAAGTCTAATGCTTGTATCATATCCGTGATGAGAGCACGAAAGATGATGAGGAAGGGATGCCACGCATACCTTGCCTACGTGGTGGACGATACCAAGAAGGAAGTCGACATCAAAGATGTACGGGTCGTATGCAAATACCCGGATGTCTTTCCCAAGGACCTACCGGGGCTTCCACCCGATAGAGAGATCGAATTTGTAATTGAAGTGGAGCCGGGAACCAAACCCATTTCGATTCCTCCTTATCGAATGGCACCGGCCGAACTTCAAGAGTTGAAGGTCCAACTACAAGAACTATTGGACAACGGGTTCATCAGACCCAGTCATTCACCGTGGGGAGCACCCGTACTCTTCGTGAAGAAGAAAGATGGTACACTAAGAATGTGTATCGACTACCGACAATTGAACAAGGTCACCATCAAGAACAGGTATCCCTTACCGAGGATTGATGACTTGTTCGATCAACTTCGAGGGGCAAAAGTGTTCTCGAAGATTGACTTGAGGTCGGGGTATCATCAGTTGAAGATCAAGGAGAGCGACATACCTAAGAGTGCATTTCGCACTAGATATGGTCATTACGAGTTCCTTGTGATGTCGTTTGGTTTAACTAACGCACCGGCGGCATTCATGGACTTGATGAATCGTGTGTTTAGTGAATACTTAGATCAATTTGTGATAGTATTCATTGATGACATCTTGATATACTCCAAGAGCGAGGAAGAGCACGAACATCATTTGGGGCTTATACTTGACCGGCTAAGGGAAAAGCAACTCTTTGCCAAGTTCTCTAAATGCGAATTTTGGCTCAAGGAGATTGGTTTTCTCGGTCACATCATATCCGGTTCGGGCGTAGCTGTGGATAACGCCAAGATAAAAGCTATCATGGATTGGGAGAGACCCAAGAATGTGAAAGAGATACGTAGTTTCCTTGGCTTAGCGGGATACTATCGCAAATTTGTTGAAAAATTCTCCGTATTGGCGTCTCCATTAACGAAGCTCACCAAGAAAGGGGCCAAGTTCATATGGGACGACAAGTGTGAGAAAGGGTTCCTTGAACTGAAGAAACGACTTACCGAAGCACCCGTCCTTGCCCTACCCATACAAGGGATAGGGTATGATATATACAGCGATGCCAGCATCCAAGGGCTTGGATGCGTACTGATGCAAAACGGTAAGGTGATTGCCTATGCTTCTAGGCAATTGAGGAAGCACGAGGTGAACTACCCTACCCATGATCTAGAGTTGGGGGCGGTAGTGTTTGCATTGAAGATTTGGAGGCATTATCTCTACGGGGAGACGTGTCACATTTATACTGATCATAAGAGCTTGAAGTATGTATTCACTCAGAAAGAGTTGAATATGAGGCAGAGGAGATGGATGGAGTTGATCAAGGACTATGACTTGATCATCGACTATCATCCCGGAAAGGCCAATGTAGTGGCCGACGCACTGAGCAGAAAGAGTACGTCGGGGACGCTACTCACATGTCTACAGGCATTGAGGGCACACGTGGGGGTATCCACGAGCGGGGCGCTCATTGCTAGGTTTGAGGTCAGACCTACATTGCTGGGTGAGATCAGTAGATGCCAGGCCATTGACGAGGAGTGTCAGAAGATTCGTGAACGAATCATTGAGGGGCCTGTTGAGAACTTTCGAGTACGCGATGACGGTCTATTATTGTTTAAGGATCGTGTGTGCATACCCAAGAATGAAGACCTCCAGAAGTCTATACTTGAGGAGGCTCATTCTTCAGCTTATGCTATGCATCCAGGAGGTACAAAAATGTACCGAGATTTGAAGGAAGGTTACTGGTGGTCAGGTATGAAGAGAGACATCGCAGAGTATGTGAGTCGATGCCTTACTTGCCAACAAGTTAAGGCAGAGCATCAGCACCCGGCAGGGCTTTTGCAACCACTTACTATCCCAGAGTGGAAGTGGGAACACGTGACGATGGACTTCGTGGTGGGGCTACCACGAACAGTGAACAACTACGATGCAGTATGGGTAGTGGTCGATAGGCTCACCAAGAGTGCACACTTTCTGCCTATCAACATTACCTATCCTCTTGAAAGATTGGCCAAGCTATACACGGAGGAGATTGTGAGATTACATGGAGTCCCAGTATCCATTGTCTCGGATAGGGATCCACGATTCACATCCCGGTTTTGGCCAAAGTTTCAAGCATCTTTGGGGACCAAACTGAAGTTTAGCACAGCTTTTCACCCACAAACGGATGGACAGTCCGAGCGGGTGATACAGATTTTGGAAGACATGCTTAGGGCATGTGCTTTGGAGTTCCAAGGAAGTTGGGACAAACATTTAGCCCTAGTGGAGTTTGCCTATAACAACAGTTATCAGGCAAGTATCGGCATGCCTCCATATGAGGCATTGTATGGGAGGAAGTGCAGAACACCGTTGTGTTGGGACGAGGTTGGCGAGGCCAAACTCGAAGGGATAGAGCTGGTTGAGATCACCAAGGCCAAGGTGAGGATCATTCGGGATAGACTGAAGGCCGCTCAGGACCGACAGAAGAGTTATGCTGATAAACGGCGGAGACCGTTGGAGTTCGAAGTCGGTGATGAGGTCTTCCTAAGGATTTCTCCTTGGAAGGGCATCATCCGATTCGTATCGAGGGGGAAACTTAACCCCCGATACATAGGTCCGTTTGAGATCCTTGAAAGGATCGGAGCCGTGGCTTACCGACTCAAGTTGACGCCTGAACTTGAGAAGATACATGACGTGTTTCATGTATCAATGCTCAAGAAGTACATACGAGACCCGTCTCATATTCTTGAGAAACCACCGGTAGAGATCCGTGAGGACTTGCAATATGCGGTGGAACCAGTGAAGATTGTTGGTCAACAAGTGAAGAAGCTTAGGAATAAAGAGATTCCTATGGTAAAGGTTCTTTGGAGGAGTGATCGAGTCGAAGAAGAAACTTGGGAGACCGAGATCTCAATGAGGGAGCAATACCCATTTCTTTTCGATTAGATACTTGGATTTCGGGGACGAAATCCCAAATAAGGGGGGGTGAACTTGTAACACCGTCCCCAAATATATTTACTTTTGTGTAAATAATGTATTGAACCTTATTAAAGGATTAATGAATTTACGAAGTTGTAAATTTTTTATTATTTTTTCGCGTGAATAGTAAATTGCACGTGGGACCCACACCGGGAGCGGGGGCCGCCCGACACTCCCGAGACCACATATTTTATTCATCTTGGTCAAGATAATATTTATATAGTGGTGGATATTTTATTTGGGTCGTGGAAAGGCGCAGGGTTGACCGATTGGGAAAAAGATGTCACGCCCCAGACCGCAATCCAAGCGCGTGTACAACCGCCGTATAATTAAGTGACGTCACCCGCGAGTCAACCCCACTTAATTACACAAGGCGTTCGAGAAAACAATCCATCCATACTCAGTAGTAAACATACATAACAACATCACATTTAAACCAATGAATAGCGGAAATATTCAACGGTAAGTCATAAGCCACAACCGGCCAACAACATGGGCATGCAAGCCCCAAAAATAGTTTATAGTAGAGCAAATATCCATGAGCAAGTGTTCGGTAGTTTGAAAGAAAATAAGGAAGCACGAACCACGTCTTCCTGATTTGATATCACCCGTGAGAAGGTGCAAGTAGCAAGCCCTAGCTTCAACCTGAAAATGGTGGGGCCCCCCGAAGGGGTCAGTACAAGTACCGAGCGAGTAGCAGGCTAAATATAGAATAACTAGCGTTTCAAGTATAAGACCCAAACATAGGGTGATACTTAAATAGATAGTCTTTCCCCCAAGTTATGAAATACTTATTAGTATATATATACTTGGAAAATATCCGATCCGTAGATCACCATTTTATTTGGGAAAAATAGTATTAGTCAATATTCTTGACTAAAAACCCCAACCCACCCATATACCTATGAGTGTATAGGACTCCTCCTTGTCCCTATTTGTATATCATAATTTATGAGTTTTAGGATCAACATCCTCGGATACTCCACCGGTTTGTGAGTGTTAAGGCCTCATAAGTCCTAGGGTCCTCCACCGAGTTTTGAGTGTTAAGTACTTTAAGTACTAGGGTCCTCCACCAAGTTTGAGTGTTAAGGACTTTAAGTCCTAGGGTCCTCCACCAAGTTTTTGAGTGTTAAGTACTTTTTAAGTACTAGGGTCCTCCACCGAGTTTGAGTGTTAAGGACTTTAAGTCCTAGGGTCCTCCACCAAGTTTGAGTGTTAAGGACTTTAAGTCCTAGGGTCTTCCACCAAGTTTGAGTGTTAAGGACTTTAAGTCCTAGGGTCCTCCACCAAGTTTGAGTGTTAAGTACTTTTTAAGTACTAGGGTCCTCCACCAAGTTTTCCTAGGATCAACCTCCTATCAACCTAGATAGAGTCTATATCATCCTTAGTTACTCATAACTAATCCAATACATAAATCTTATGTATCACAATCCATGCAAAGCCATGCATTTATATAATTGTATAATTAACTAACATCAACCGATATTAATTAATCCATCATCCATCGGTCAACGTTGTCGTTGACCGCCAATTCAAGCCTTGTACATATCAACTTAATCATCATATAATTAAGTCAATAATACTCATTTGAGCTTCTTTTACACTTCAAGCTAATGTGCATTTTATATAATTTCTCATATCATATTTCATGCATAATCAATTAATTCTTTTCATACAACTTGATAATGTTGGCTAATCACATGTTTAAATATCTTTTAAACATCATTTTGAACACATATAACATTTATTTAGGTAATCTCATAATTAACCCAAAAGTTATAAGATATTAAGCCGTCCACTCACCTTGAACTAGCGTTAAGAAGTTCTACCCTTCTTGGTTGAACTCCGGTGAAACTCCGGCGACTTGGTCAACTCCGGCGACAACTCCGGCGACTTTTTCCAACTTTGTGAAATCACTTGAAATACCCTTTACAAGTGCCTAACAAGGTTTTATAATCATAAAACCCATATTAATACAAATAACCTCAAAAAGGTTATTTTCCGGTGAACCGGTCGTTTTGGCTTCTAAGTCCGTTCTTGGACTTAGAACCATCTTCCACCCCATAAATCCATACTTATAACATATTGAACCATACTAAAGGTTCTTCATATGATATATACTTCATATGGTGGAAGAAAAATAAAGGAAAAGTTAATATAAGGTCATTACCTTAATTGTTCACACTTTTCCCAACTTTTTCCCTCTTTAATCTTCTTCCTTTGAGCACTAAAGCTTGAGCTCAAATTTGCAGCAATGGAGGTGATTTTGAAGCTCCTTCTCTCTCCCTTGGATGGTTTGGTCGAGCTCAATGGTTGGAGGGAGAGGGGATGTCTCACTTTTGTCTTAATTGACAAATGAGTGAGGGAGGGGGGTCCTCCATGTACCTTAGATGCCAAAAGCACCTCCTCCACTCCTTCCTTTGTCAACTCAGCCACCTCCTTGTTTATTTTGAGCACACAAAAACGTGGGGTGGCCCCCACCCTTGTGGGAGGTCATCCCATTAAGTCCCGATGTGTACAATCGGTCCCGAAAGTTGTATTTTTCGGACTGTTTTAAATATATTTTATTTTATCGGGTCAAATAAAATATATTATGTGCTCTTACTCATTATGACATGTATAATGAATATACATTCCCCAACTTTAATTTATAAGCCTCCGAAATTCATTTTCGGGCTGTTATCTGTTAAATTGTCGGTACCGGTAATTGGGCCTCTTTTTCCCAATCGGTCAACCCTGCGCCTTTCCACGACCCAAATAAAATATCCACCACTATATAAATATTATCTTGACCAAGATGAATAAAATATGTGGTCTCGGGAGTGTCGGGCGGCCCCCGCTCCCGGTGTGGGTCCCACGTGCAATTTACTATTCACGCGAAAAAATAATAAAAAATTTACAACTTCGTAAATTCATTAATCCTTTAATAAGGTTCAATACATTATTTACACAAAAGTAAATATATTTGGGGACGGTGTTACAAGTTCACCCCCCCTTATTTGGGATTTCGTCCCCGAAATCCAAGTATCTAATCGAAAAGAAATGGGTATTGCTCCCTCATTGAGATCTCGGTCTCCCAAGTTTCTTCTTCGACTCGATCACTCCTCCAAAGAACCTTTACCATAGGAATCTCTTTATTCCTAAGCTTCTTCACTTGTTGACCAACAATCTTCACTGGTTCCACCGGATATTGCAAGTCCTCACGGATCTCTACCGGTGGTTTCTCAAGAATATGAGACGGGTCTCGTATGTACTTCTTGAGCATTGATACATGAAACACGTCATGTATCTTCTCAAGTTCAGGCGTCAACTTGAGTCGGTAAGCCACGGCTCCGATCCTTTCAAGGATCTCAAACGGACCTATGTATCGGGGGTTAAGTTTCCCCCTCGATACGAATCGGATGATGCCCTTCCAAGGAGAAATCCTTAGGAAGACCTCATCACCGACTTCGAACTCCAACGGTCTCCGCCGTTTATCAGCATAACTCTTCTGTCGGTCCTGAGCGGCCTTCAGTCTATCCCGAATGATCCTCACCTTGGCCTTGGTGATCTCAACCAGCTCTATCCCTTCGAGTTTGGCCTCGCCAACCTCGTCCCAACACAACGGTGTTCTGCACTTCCTCCCATACAATGCCTCATATGGAGGCATGCCGATACTTGCCTGATAACTGTTGTTATAGGCAAACTCCACTAGGGCTAAATGTTTGTCCCAACTTCCTTGGAACTCCAAAGCACATGCCCTAAGCATGTCTTCCAAAATCTGTATCACCCGCTCGGACTGTCCATCCGTTTGTGGGTGAAAAGCTGTGCTAAACTTCAGTTTGGTCCCCAAAGATGCTTGAAACTTTGGCCAAAACCGGGATGTGAATCGTGGATCCCTATCCGAGACAATGGATACTGGGACTCCATGTAATCTCACAATCTCCTCCGTGTATAGCTTGGCCAATCTTTCAAGAGGATAGGTAATGTTGATAGGCAGAAAGTGTGCACTCTTGGTGAGCCTATCGACCACTACCCATACTGCATCGTAGTTGTTCACTGTTCGTGGTAGCCCCACCACGAAGTCCATCGTCACGTGTTCCCACTTCCACTCTGGGATAGTAAGTGGTTGCAAAAGCCCTGCCGGGTGCTGATGCTCTGCCTTAACTTGTTGGCAAGTAAGGCATCGACTCACATACTCTGCGATGTCTCTCTTCATACCTGACCACCAGTAACCTTCCTTCAAATCTCGGTACATTTTTGTACCTCCTGGATGCATAGCATAAGCTGAAGAATGAGCCTCCTCAAGTATAGACTTCTGGAGGTCTTCATTCTTGGGTATGCACACACGATCCTTAAACAATAATAGACCGTCATCGCGTACTCGAAAGTTCTCAACAGGCCCCTCAATGATTCGTTCACGAATCTTCTGACACTCCTCGTCAATGGCCTGGCATCTACTGATCTCACCCAGCAATGTAGGTCTGACCTCAAACCTAGCAATGAGCGCCCCGCTCGTGGATACCCCCACGTGTGCCCTCAATGCCTGTAGACATGTGAGTAGCGTCCCCGACGTACTCTTTCTGCTCAGTGCGTCGGCCACTACATTGGCCTTTCTGGGATGATAGTCGATGATCAAGTCATAGTCCTTGATCAACTCCATCCATCTCCTCTGCCTCATATTCAACTCTTTCTGAGTGAATACATACTTCAAGCTCTTATGATCAGTATAAATGTGACACGTCTCCCCGTAGAGATAATGCCTCCAAATCTTCAATGCAAACACTACCGCCCCCAACTCTAGATCATGGGTAGGGTAGTTCACCTCGTGCTTCCTCAATTGCCTAGAAGCATAGGCAATCACCTTACCGTTTTGCATCAGTACGCATCCAAGCCCTTGGATGCTGGCATCGCTGTATATATCATACCCTATCCCTTGTATGGGTAGGGCAAGGACGGGTGCTTCGGTAAGTCGTTTCTTCAGTTCAAGGAACCCTTTCTCACACTTGTCGTCCCATATGAACTTGGCCCCTTTCTTGGTGAGCTTCGTTAATGGAGACGCCAATACGGAGAATTTTTCAACAAATTTGCGATAGTATCCCGCTAAGCCAAGGAAACTACGTATCTCTTTCACATTCTTGGGTCTCTCCCAATCCATGATAGCTTTTATCTTGGCGTTATCCACAGCTACGCCCGAACCGGATATGATGTGACCGAGAAAACCAATCTCCTTGAGCCAAAATTCGCATTTAGAGAACTTGGCAAAGAGTTGCTTTTCCCTTAGCCGGTCAAGTATAAGCCCCAAATGATGTTCGTGCTCTTCCTCGCTCTTGGAGTATATCAAGATGTCATCAATGAATACTATCACAAATTGATCTAAGTATTCACTAAACACACGATTCATCAAGTCCATGAATGCCGCCGGTGCGTTAGTTAAACCAAACGACATCACAAGGAACTCGTAATGACCATATCTAGTGCGAAATGCACTCTTAGGTATGTCGCTCTCCTTGATCTTCAACTGATGATACCCCGACCTCAAGTCAATCTTCGAGAACACTTTTGCCCCTCGAAGTTGATCGAACAAGTCATCAATCCTCGGTAAGGGATACCTGTTCTTGATGGTGACCTTGTTCAATTGTCGGTAGTCGATACACATTCTTAGTGTACCATCTTTCTTCTTCACGAAGAGTACGGGTGCTCCCCACGGTGAATGACTGGGTCTGATGAACCCGTTGTCCAATAGTTCTTGTAGTTGGACCTTCAACTCTTGAAGTTCGGCCGGTGCCATTCGATAAGGAGGAATCGAAATGGGTTTGGTTCCCGGCTCCACTTCAATTACAAATTCGATCTCTCTATCGGGTGGAAGCCCCGGTAGGTCCTTGGGAAAGACATCCGGGTATTTGCATACGACCCGTACATCTTTGATGTCGACTTCCTTCTTGGTATCGTCCACCACGTAGGCAAGGTATGCGTGGCATCCCTTCCTCATCATCTTTCGTGCTCTCATCACGGATATGATACAAGCATTAGACTTCCCCCGATCTCCTTCAAAACGTAGCATATTCCCTTGACCATCCTCAAGCTCCAACACCTTGGTGTAGCAATCTACTCGAGCATGGTGCTTCTCAAGCCAATCCATTCCTAGGATTGCATCGAACTCCAACATGCTTAGAGGTACGAAATCACAAGTCAAAGGTTGACCCGTCACTTCTACCTCACACGACGGATAGTAATGATTTCTCTCCACGTCGTCTCCCAACGGTGTGGAGACTAACAATGTTTGAGTCATAGGTGTCAATGGCACGTCAAGGCCCTCGGCGAACGCCTCACTCACAAATGAGCGTTGTGCCCCGGGTATCGATGAGGATCCTCGCACACCTACCATTGATCTTTAATGTTCCTACATTTATACACATGTAAGATACATTTTCTAATGTTTTAACACATCTTTAGGAGGTTATTAGGCTCATACTAATGTTTGGAATCAAACGGGGGTCCAAACGTAGAAGAACGGGGCGAAAAAAATCAAGTTTCGGGTGCTGGGGGTCCACGCACGGCGTGCCTGGGTGGCACGCACGGTCGTGCGTGCGTGAAAAATCCGGAATCCGCCACTGCCGGCTACGCACGATCGTGCGTAGCTGGTCACGCACGATCGTGCGTCCCACGCACGGCGTGCCTTACCTGCACGCACGGCGTGCGTCTGCGCGGAAAACGGCCAGAAGCTGCTGCCTCGCACGCACGGTCGTGCGTCTGTAGGTACGCGCGATCGCGCGTAGTTGTTTTTAGCCCGTTTCGCCCCGAATTCGCGGGGTTTGACCCCGGGGTGGCCCGCACCCAAACCCAATGACTCGTATGACCCAAATAAGCCTAGAAATACAGGAAAATAAGCGTATTACCTGCAACGGAGTCCGGGTTTGCTCGCGCATCCGCCTCGGTCATTGCGTACACTCGTGCTTGGGTCCCGCCTTGATTTACGGACGCGACATGACTTGTGGACGCGCCGCCTCTTCCCGCACCGCCGTTTGATGGGCCCGCACGGTTCCTCCCCGTCATGGTTCCTCCTCCGGATCCCGGAGCTCCTCCGCCCCCCAGTTGTGGGCAATTGGCCTTCATGTGGCCCGTGTTCCCACATTGATAACACCTCGGGGGTGCATTGCACTTCCCAAAGTGATTTTTCGAACAATTTGCACACTTTGGAGGCCCCGTCTTTTGGGAGGAGGATGCATGCCACCGAGCATCCCTGTTCTTCTTTGCCGGTGGTGCCGGAGTCTTGAACGAACCGCCACCCCCCGCCGTGTTTATCCTTCCGTGCTTGCTCGGGCGGCCCCGAACTTTGCCATTTCCTCTTTTTCGCCTCTTCGGCGTCTCTCTCTTTCCTCTCATTCCATTGGGCCTCCCCGAGAAGGCCCTGTTCCACCACCTCGCTGAAGGTCATGTGGCGCGAGTACGTAGCTCGGTCACGGATGTCCAAGAGTAGGGCATCCCAAAAGTGCTCCGTCATGCGGTTCTCATCAACCGCGTACTCCGGCAAGAACCTAGCCAAGGTTCTAAACTCTTGTTCCAGTTGTTTAACTGTGCCGCCATCTTTCTGTTTGAGGTTAGTGTACTCTCTCCGTTTCACATTCACCTCGTACTCGGAGTAGTATTGAGCATAGAACTCCAGCTCAAAGTCCGCCCATGTTATTTCCCCATGGTACTTCCCTTCCACGCTCTCCCACCACGTAGAAGCTATCCCTTCAAGTAGCCGTGAAGCGACAGTCAACTTCACGTCCGGTGTGATTTGCATGTCCCTTGATGCATCCTTCACCTTCTTAATCCAATCGGCGGCAACGGTAATGTCCCCGGTGCCGTCAAAGGACCTACACCCCAAGGCCCTAGCCTCCTTGAGGTACTTGGAGATTCTCACAACAAAACCTCCTTCACGCCCACCTTGTGACGCCGCTGGGGTGGCCACGGAAGCTCCCCTTATTCCTTGACCCGAACCTCCACGAGAGCCACGCCTCGCTTGGCGCCTAAGGTCTCTCCTCAGTTTTTCTTTTTGATACCACTCAAGCAATTCGCCCATTTGAGCGAACTTGGCATCACTCTCTTCATCATCATCGTCCGTGTACGTGTCACCCCCATCATATGGGGTCTCCTCGTGCTCCGTTTCCGGAACATATGTAGAGTCGTAGTCTTCGGTGTTGGTTTCATACACCGAGCTTACATGGCCATCACTCACAGTTTGAGCTTGATGACCTCCACGGCTTCCACGGCCTCCACGGCCTCCTCTTGAACCCCGAGATGCAGCCCGGCTTCCCCTTTGGGACGCTACCGGCGCCCGCCCTCTCGGATTGTTCCTGGTTGCCATTCGCCTGCCCTCCATTTCTGAAAGAAATATGGATGAGTCATTAGACTCCTATAAATGTCAATTGACGGAAGAACGTTACAGACACGTATTGGCCCAAGTCACTACCATACCAATTGTTAAGGGTACCGTCTTAACAATTAGAGGCCTTGCAACTTAAGCACCAATAGTCCTATAAACGTCAAAATACAATGCTCATGATTTTTGGTAAAAACTCTTTTGTAAAATCTTTTGTGAGAGGTTGATTATATAGTTTAGAACTGAGATGGCTCTGATACCACTTAATTGTCACGCCCCAGACCGCAATCCAAGCGCGTGTACAACCGCCGTATAATTAAGTGACGTCACCCGCGAGTCAACCCCACTTAATTACACAAGGCGTTCGAGAAAACAATCCATCCATACTCAGTAGTAAACATACATAACAACATCACATTTAAACCAATGAATAGCGGAAATATTCAACGGTAAGTCATAAGCCACAACCGGCCAACAACATGGGCATGCAAGCCCCAAAAATAGTTTATAGTAGAGCAAATATCCATGAGCAAGTGTTCGGTAGTTTGAAAGAAAATAAGGAAGCACGAACCACGTCTTCCTGATTTGATATCACCCGTGAGAAGGTGCAAGTAGCAAGCCCTAGCTTCAACCTGAAAATGGTGGGGCCCCCCGAAGGGGTCAGTACAAGTACCGAGCGAGTAGCAGGCTAAATATAGAATAACTAGCGTTTCAAGTATAAGACCCAAACATAGGGTGATACTTAAATAGATAGTCTTTCCCCCAAGTTATGAAATACTTATTAGTATATATATACTTGGAAAATATCCGATCCGTAGATCACCATTTTATTTGGGAAAAATAGTATTAGTCAATATTCTTGACTAAAAACCCCAACCCACCCATATACCTATGAGTGTATAGGACTCCTCCTTGTCCCTATTTGTATATCATAATTTATGAGTTTTAGGATCAACATCCTCGGATACTCCACCGGTTTGTGAGTGTTAAGGCCTCATAAGTCCTAGGGTCCTCCACCGAGTTTTGAGTGTTAAGTACTTTAAGTACTAGGGTCCTCCACCAAGTTTGAGTGTTAAGGACTTTAAGTCCTAGGGTCCTCCACCAAGTTTTTGAGTGTTAAGTACTTTTTAAGTACTAGGGTCCTCCACCGAGTTTGAGTGTTAAGGACTTTAAGTCCTAGGGTCCTCCACCAAGTTTGAGTGTTAAGGACTTTAAGTCCTAGGGTCCTCCACCAAGTTTGAGTGTTAAGGACTTTAAGTCCTAGGGTCCTCCACCAAGTTTGAGTGTTAAGTACTTTTTAAGTACTAGGGTCCTCCACCAAGTTTTCCTAGGATCAACCTCCTATCAACCTAGATAGAGTCTATATCATCCTTAGTTACTCATAACTAATCCAATACATAAATCTTATGTATCACAATCCATGCAAAGCCATGCATTTATATAATTGTATAATTAACTAACATCAACCGATATTAATTAATCCATCATCCATCGGTCAACGTTGTCGTTGACCGCCAATTCAAGCCTTGTACATATCAACTTAATCATCATATAATTGAGTCAATAATACTCATTTGAGCTTCTTTTACACTTCAAGCTAATGTGCATTTTATATAATTTCTCATATCATATTTCATGCATAATCAATTAATTCTTTTCATACAACTTGATAATGTTGGCTAATCACATGTTTAAATATCTTTTAAACATCATTTTGAACACATATAACATTTATTTAGGTAATCTCATAATTAACCCAAAAGTTATAAGATATTAAGCCGTCCACTCACCTTGAACTAGCGTTAAGAAGTTCTACCCTTCTTGGTTGAACTCCGGTGAAACTCCGGCGACTTGGTCAACTCCGGCGACAACTCCGGCGACTTTTTCCAACTTTGTGAAATCACTTGAAATACCCTTTACAAGTGCCTAACAAGGTTTTATAATCATAAAACCCATATTAATACAAATAACCTCAAAAAGGTTATTTTCCGGTGAACCGGTCGTTTTGGCTTCTAAGTCCGTTCTTGGACTTAGAACCATCTTCCACCCCATAAATCCATACTTATAACATATTGAACCATACTAAAGGTTCTTCATATGATATATACTTCATATGGTGGAAGAAAAATAAAGGAAAAGTTAATATAAGGTCATTACCTTAATTGTTCACACTTTTCCCAACTTTTTCCCTCTTTAATCTTCTTCCTTTGAGCACTAAAGCTTGAGCTCAAATTTGCAGCAATGGAGGTGATTTTGAAGCTCCTTCTCTCTCCCTTGGATGGTTTGGTCGAGCTCAATGGTTGGAGGGAGAGGGGATGTCTCACTTTTGTCTTAATTGACAAATGAGTGAGGGAGGGGGGTCCTCCATGTACCTTAGATGCCAAAAGCACCTCCTCCACTCCTTCCTTTGTCAACTCAGCCACCTCCTTGTTTATTTTGAGAACACAAAAACGTGGGGTGGCCCCCACCCTTGTGGGAGGTCATCCCATTAAGTCCCGATGTGTACAATCGGTCCCGAAAGTTGTATTTTTCGGACTGTTTTAAATATATTTTATTTTATCGGGTCAAATAAAATATATTATGTGCTCTTACTCATTATGACATGTATAATGAATATACATTCCCCAACTTTAATTTATAAGCCTCCGAAATTCATTTTCGGGCTGTTATCTGTTAAATTGTCGGTACCCGGTAATTGGGCCTCTTTTGTAACACCGTCCCCAAATATATTTACTTTTGTGTAAATAATGTATTGAACCTTATTAAAGGATTAATGAATTTACGAAGTTGTAAATTTTTTATTATTTTTTCGCGTGAATAGTAAATTGCACGTGGGACCCACACCGGGAGCGGGGGCCGCCCGACACTCCCGAGACCACATATTTTATTCATCTTGGTCAAGATAATATTTATATAGTGGTGGATATTTTATTTGGGTCGTGGAAAGGCGCAGGGTTGACCGATTGGGAAAAAGAGGCCCAATTACCGGTACCGACAATTTAACAGATAACAGCCCGAAAATGAATTTCGGAGGCTTATAAATTAAAGTTGGGGAATGTATATTCATTATACATGTCATAATGAGTAAGAGCACATAATATATTTTATTTGACCCGATAAAATAAAATATATTTAAAACAGTCCGAAAAATACAACTTTCGGGACCGATTGTACACATCGGGACTTAATGGGATGACCTCCCACAAGGGTGGGGGCCACCCCACGTTTTTGTGTGCTCAAAATAAACAAGGAGGTGGCTGAGTTGACAAAGGAAGGAGTGGAGGAGGTGCTTTTGGCATCTAAGGTACATGGAGGACCCCCCTCCCTCACTCATTTGTCAATTAAGACAAAAGTGAGACATCCCCTCTCCCTCCAACCATTGAGCTCGACCAAACCATCCAAGGGAGAGAGAAGGAGCTTCAAAATCACCTCCATTGCTGCAAATTTGAGCTCAAGCTTTAGTGCTCAAAGGAAGAAGATTAAAGAGGGAAAAAGTTGGGAAAAGTGTGAACAATTAAGGTAATGACCTTATATTAACTTTTCCTTTATTTTTCTTCCACCATATGAAGTATATATCATATGAAGAACCTTTAGTATGGTTCAATATGTTATAAGTATGGATTTATGGGGTGGAAGATGGTTCTAAGTCCAAGAACGGACTTAGAAGCCAAAACGACCGGTTCACCGGAAAATAACCTTTTTGTGGTTATTTGTATTAATATGGGTTTTATGATTATAAAACCTTGTTAGGCACTTGTAAAGGGTATTTCAAGTGATTTCACAAAGTTGGAAAAAGTCGCCGGAGTTGTCGCCGGAGTTGACCAAGTCGCCGGAGTTTCACCGGAGTTCAACCA